CAAAATCATGAGGGGAATATCGGGGATAGAAGCGGACAGTCTCTTCACATTAGCTCCCCAACATGGCACTCGGGGGCATGAGTTCAAGCTCACGAAGAAAAGATGTCGACTAAACATGCGAAAGCACTTTTTCAGTAATAGGATAGTCGATAGCTGGAACCGGCATCCCCAGGAAATAGTCGATCTTCAAACAGTGCAGGCCTTCAAGACTGCACTCGATAAGCGATGGATGGAACTATTCCCATCACTGGCAGTGTAGACGAGTGTAGGTGTGCCAAAAGTTTAGGATGCCGTTTCCCTTTTTCACTGGTGCACGTAATGGAACGCTCACGTTTAACAATTCACTCGCCAACTTGGTGAGATGAGATCCTATTTCTCATTTTCATTTCAGCAGTGCTGGGTGCCCACGTTGTGAGCATACCATCGAAGGAATTCTGGACGCTCGATTGGCCGTGGCCATATTCAGTCCTGTGAAACCTGACCTGACCTGAACTGAACGGAATCCGTAAATCGAACCAAGCGATCGAGGTATCTTGATGCTGTTTCCAAATCACTAGTATATATACGCAATATTAATCCACAGTAGTCACCACTCAGGACCATCTGTTCACCTCAGCAACCCAAGACTAAGTCTTAGTTTTTCTGCATCGAATCGGGCCATAGGTGAGACTCTTGAAGGTCACGTCGCTCGCGCCTCGTTGCTATTCCGAGATGACCGCTGTAAATGTTGCCGATGAAGAATTGTCGTTCCTTGAGACATCCGTTCTCAGTGGAACGGCGGCCGTTATAGCAAAGACTGTATCCGCACCCATCGAACGCGTGAAGCTTATGATACAAAATCAAGATGAGATGATGAAGCAAGGGCGCTTGGATAAACCTTACGACGGCATGATTGATTGTACCGTTCGTACTTTCAAGACAGAAGGTGGTTTTTAGGTATTTGTTCGCTCACTATTGATGTAGGTGTTTTGCCGTTTTGGAGAGGAAATGTCCCAAACTGCATTAGGTATTTTCCCACACAAGCCCTGAACTTCGCGTTCAAAGATAAAATCAAGGATCTGTTTCACCCAAGTAAACAAGATACGTACACTGTAGCATTCTACAAGAACGTTGCTAGCGGCGGAGCTGCAGGAGCCGCTTCTCTTCTTTTCGTGTATTCCTTGGATTACGCTCGTACGCGCCTTGCAAATGACGCTCTTGCAGCTTCTAAAGGGACTAGCCGCGAATTCAACGGCCTCGTGGACGTCTATGTGTAAGTTCTCACTTTGTGTTCTGTGAATGTCTCTAGAAAAACCTTCAAGAGCGACGGCCTTCCTGGTCTTTATCGAGGTTTCTGTTTGTCCTGCGTTGGTATAATTGTCTACCGTGGATTTTATTTCGGACTGTATGACACTATCAAACCGCTGGTATTTGGCTCCGATGCAGGCTTGACCATAAGCTTTCTTCTGGGTTATGCTGTAACCATTGTATCCGAAACTCTAGCCTACCCTATTGACACCGTACGTCGTCGACTTATGATGACTTCCAGTACGTTCTCTTCAGTTTGGTCAATAAAACTTTCATTTCAGATCAGGCAGTAAAGTACAAGAGCTCGCTAGATTGCGCCATGCAAATAATGCGTAAAGAAGGCGGTATGTCCTTCTTCAAGGGCACTTTTGCCAACATTCTTCGTGGGATTGCCGGAGCGGGTGTGCTCGCCGGTTTTGACAAACTGAAAGAGATTTATGTCGTCTATCGAAAACCAAAGAAACCATCAGCATAAGATTATCAGAAACTTGCGGTATCTAGTTCAGCCAATAGCATTCCTATTTTCTGACCCACTCGTTGCTTTGCTTTCCAATCCTGGTTGGGTGCGATGTCTTCATTTATAGTTTTTTTTCGACTTGATATACTTCGGTAAGTAATCGTGAGCTACTTATTTCCTGTTTTTCTGACTGAGTACCAATTTTATGTGAATCCCGATGGTTGAGGACTCGGGGGTCGTAGACTGCGAAAGGCTTTGCACGCTACCGATCGCATTTCCAGGTAACAGTGGTTCGTCATTGTTTCATTAAGTTAGCGATCCCGGTAAATCAACGAGTTCTACGAATGTGATGGCATTTCACCCATTAATTAAGCACCCTAGAAATAAAGTCAAACTTCTTGTGGCTTGCGCGAATCGGGCAATTTTCGTCAACCTACTATTTGCCTTTACCTGCACAGGGGCGAGAGATTTATCCTCTAAGAGAAACGTCATGTGCTACTGATAATGCTATCACACTACATCCTGGAGTCATGGATTTTATATGATCTCTAAATAGGACAAAGCTACCTGAGTGCAATGTAACTCATGAAGCGACTTCTCAACTAGCTGTGTACCACAGTAAGCGCTCCAGGATTGCGTGGTGCTCTTAGTTTTGGTGAACAAGAGATCCAAATAGAGGAACCAAAGCCGCTTAGGCAGTGATGCCGTGTAGGAACTTGGGAGTCAAGCAAAATAATCAAATCTTAGATAAGGTGGTCTGAACCTCGCAGTTCACTGTTCCTAATGTAGGCGGTTAAGAATCGACCACTATAGGCATAACTCGACTTCGGGCGTGTTAGGGGGAGGGAGGGGGGTATAGAAGGGTGATGAGTTATTAGACATGATGTTCTGCTTGGAAGCTATTCGGAATTCATGCTCCTCATTATAGCCGGTGGTTGTGTGAAAACGCACGAGCAGAATTTTCCATTACGAATGACGGTTCCTAAGAACGGGTACGGTAATGAAGGTTTTCAAGAAATTGGAGTAAAATCTTTTCTCGCTAGTTAAACTCTGAGCCAAATGAAACCATTGAGTTGAGGTGAGTATTTTTACGTGATCCTAGCCAACGAAAATTGGATCCACTCATGGAACGGGAACGAGCTAATAAGCCATGTTTCATTAGGTGACTGAGATCATCAATAATGTGGGCAAAAATTGCGCGAGAGGTAAAAGTGAGGTCAAACAATTACGTGATTAGTATGTTCATGAGAGTTGGATAAATATAGCTTATACTTTTCAGGTGGTAGCAAAGGGTGGCGAATTCCTTTTTAATTGATAGATTAGAGGAACGGTTAGTTTTATTTAAAAGCCCTGGTAGGCAAATGTCAGTTGAATGTTGAACTGCATCAGCTTGCGAAGAGGGAAGGACAGACATTATATGTTTGCCGACTCGGGCCTTTACCTAAGAAGACTGCAGTATGTGTGTATGGTGACTACTACACACTCATCGGATGTCCTGGGTAAATTTATCATTGAGTCGCAACCCATTTCATGGGCAGGTATCTGGATCAAACTGCTTTTTCTGTCTCATCAAGTAGGTTAGTGCAGCGGAGGAGGGAGGATGAGTTGATCCACAATCAACTGGAGTAACTGTATTTAGCTTCCAGTATACTGATCGGGGCTCCGTTGTTGCCGTGGTATTATATATATATATATATATATGTATATATCTTATTCACACTTGTCTGAGGTCAGACTGTATGCCAAGCAAATCATGGTACAATAATCTTTATAAAAAAAGAAACACCCATTGGCTTGTGGGCTGAA